CAACCCCGTGTTCCATGAAAGGACAAAACACATCGAAATCGATTGTCATTTGGTTCGAGAAAAGATACAAGAAGGAGTTGTCCAAATTGCTCATGAACGAACTCTACAACAATTGGCAGATTTATTCACCAAGGCACTGAGTACCTCCCAGTTTGAAAGTCTTCTTAGCAAGTTGAGTGTAATCAACATACACTCCAACTTGAGGGGGAGTGTTAAAGATTGCAAGAATCAAGGATGAAGATTTGGTCATATAGCAGCTGTATAGGAAAGTATCATTGTAATATTTAGTTTCTGTTCTTGTAAGTCAACTTATTCTTACCTATTTTAGCATGCACTCATGTATATAAGTGTCCGTTGTAAACCGCATTAAGAGATCAATATAGAAAACCTAATTGGATTTTCTACATCAAGATTGTATCTTTCTTGATTTTCTATATAACCCATGTATTTCGTATATATTTACTTTTAAAATTCTTTGGTGTTGCTATTTTTATGTTTGGTGTCAGAAGTTTAGGTTTCATCTAGTAGAAACTTGCATTACTGGGTTATAATTGCATTCCTGGGTTATAATTGGTGTCAGAAGTTTAGGTTTCATCAGACCAGTTACCATATGTTACATTGTCCAGTTCAAGCCTTTCTTTGAAAATATTTTAGGGTTCTTTGTTAAACAATGGCAATGTGAAACTAGGAAGCGCATTTTTGTTGCTTATTTGTAAGATACTTGAGAAGCCCAATATTACACTTAATCAAAGAACCGAAAAGGATGTGGAGGTTTTGATTTCTTGGAGAAAAACGAGGACTAAACCTGGGAAGATGCTTAAAGCTTAGACCTCTGGAAATTTATGCATGATAGTCGACTCTAAATCAAAATGTAAGGGAAACTCGACTTTGTCCAGTTAATGGTTGTTTGGCATAGTTTTCTTATGAGATTTTTGGGGTGGTCTTTGAAGAGTTGATGCGATGTGAGGTGAATCTTCGATTGAAATTTTCAACATTAGCCACTCTTTCCCAAACCGATCAGTTATCAATTTGGACTTCCTTTGAAATTTAGTTTTTGTGTGTAATCCGTGACAGACTGTAAACTACAGTTCAGATATGCATGCCTTCATTCATTTAACTTCATTTCACTTTTGTTGTTGAATTTATATGCTTTTACAACTAAATTTTACTCTGTCCTAAATATTTATAGCTTCATTAATTTCAAATAATAAGGATGGAATGCAGGGAGTCGATGTGAGGTAGAGTGCTGGTTTGGTTTCCGCAACAACTTGAAATTCTACAATGGCTATATATTGTAGCTTATCATGTTCCAAAGAACCTGAATGGCAGGTTAAAATATATTGTAGCTTATCAACACATTTATATTCAACTTAATTATATTTTATTTCCTTTTATTTGCAACTGTATGTTGAATTTTGTTTTTATGACATGGTAAATAAAACATCTAACACAATACATCTTAAGGGGCACGAGCGCCCTTGATTAAAAAAATTGTCTCTCTTTGAATATGCTTCTACGTGTACAAGAAGCCTTTCTTTTATCACACATTTTACACGCGACTTAATTATATTCCATTTCCTTTTATTTGTAATTGTATATTGTATTTTATTTTTAGGACACGGTATAAGAAAGAAATCAACTAACATAATATATCATATTAAGGGGCGCGTAGTGCCCGTGATTAAAAAATGTCTCGCGGGAGAAGGCTAGTTTGGTGAAGCTTTCCAGAATGCCAAAAATGCCCATTTGTTTCTTTCACATCAAAATCCAAAAAATTCAAAAAATAAGGACAAACTGATAAAAAATCATAACTAAAAAAAAAAGCTGTATTGGAAATCAAAATAAATAAATAAAAAAGAAAATGGAATTTAAAACCAATACTGGTCAAAAGTCCACATAGTGAGTAACTGATCAATGCAATATTGCAAATTGATCTTTATTTGCCACTTAGTACTACGATCTGGTGGTATTCCTCTTCACTTGGAAGTGAGAGGTTTTAGGTTTGAATCTCGTGGATGGCGAATTCGATACAAAATTAGGCTGCCCATTATATGGCTTAGCTGAACTCTTCCTTCCCGTAGTCTAAAAATGTTGATGTACTCAAAAAAAAAAATACTGATCTTCATTTGAAAAAAGAATTAAAAAAAAAAAGTAGATAAATAGATGCAGCAAAAAAACCAATCCAAAAAAACGAAAAATGAAAAAAATGTTGGAAAGAAATGTGGGACATATTGCAGTTTTCAAACTGCTTTCAGTAGTTGAATAAAATATAAAAAATAAAAAGAAACCTAATACGTTTACAGTTAGAACTGCTATTCTACAGTTGAAGGCTTGAACCGGGCAATGGGATTATGGGAGCGGTTCTGTGGAAAGCGAACGTGCATGGAAATAAAAGCAAACGTGGGATATGATCTTATGAAGCAGTTTTGCGGGAAGAGCTAAATAAAACACAAAATACACACACACACACACCAGTTTGGTGAAGCATTCTGAAATGTCTAAAATGCCCTCACTTTGTACACAAAAAACCAAAAAAAGGGTCTAAAAAATAGGGTTAAAAATGTAATAATCTCGAATTCTCAACGGCATTAATTCACAACCATTAGATAAGATACTCACACTTTAAGTTCATTTTCAGCCTTTAGATCAATTATTCCACAACTGCTACATCACATCTGGATTTGGATCACATCCTGTGTGAAGAAACACTTACAATAGAAAGACAGAAACCATCTATCGCACGATCAAAGCAGCAACTGCAACGGTTGACAGACCCGACATGGAACTGCCATATATTGCACGTTCTCGATCACCACAGAGCATACAAAAGGGAAAATTGGATGATTTTCTCAAACTCATTTTTGTCTTCCATACAAAACGCCCTCCTCCACGCCTTTTCTGTATGATTTCTTCATCTGAAACTGACAAACCTGAAAATAAATGTTTGGATTTACACAAATCGGTCAGTACTATCCCTCTTTATTCGATATCCTTTTTTCTTTTTTTTTTTAGTCCCATCGTCTGCACACTATTTATTCTGTCTATACATTCTATGGTTTTTTTCTATCTATTCATTCTGTGGCCTTAGGTACCTTCCATCACTCTCTTTCTCAAATATTGCACTGAGGTAGAATGCGCACTCATTCTTTTAGACTAAAAACCCAGAAATCCTAACTTTCAAGGACGATCCGGTAAGCATTTTCTCTAATACTCACTCTCATATTTTCTGTGCTTTCCTTGGTTTTTTGCGTTTGTTCACGTTTTTTATGGGTTTTAAGTTTATTGCAGTCAATTTCGGGTTTTGTGGAGTCGGAAAATCGAAGACTAAGAAGCAGAGGAGGAGATCGGTGAAGAAAAAAGGAGCGAAAGTAAAAGGAAAAAATGTGAGTTATTTTTTATTATTCTCTTTGTCAAAAAAGCAATTTTTGGATATTTTATCATTATTGTTTGGTTGCTGGGAAATTGGGTTACTGAGTAGCAAATAAATTTGATTGTTTGTGGTTTTTGAGTAGTTGCAGAAAGTAAATTTAATTATATTGTGTCTACTGGAAGGTTGGAAGAACTGATATGCTTATGTATATCCATACATATGTTCTGATTCCTAATAAACTTTGTATTATTTTTGTGCTTGTCATTGGCAGGTAGCTTTGAAAACATTAGATAAATTGGATAATTTTCTCGAACAATATTATCCTTATCTTGGCCAGATTTTTGAAATGGGTTTTCGCTAGAGATTTTCACTTTCTGCTTCAATCTAGGTACTCTATGCTTAATTGAATTGTTCATCACGACCTTATTTTCATATATACTAATTTGGAGTTTTTAACTCGATTGTCATTTGAACCATTCGAAATTATTTATATTTACCAGATTTTTTAAATGGGTTTTGGAACAATTTGTAGAAAGCTCTCTGTTTTGTGTATTGGTTATTCAGTTTCTGGCTTAATTTTTGCTTTTATGGAACGCCAGAGACATTTAAGGAGTTACTGAATTACCAGTTGTTGTTTCTGTTTTACTAATGCTTTGGGGTAATGTTTGAATTGAATTCTGTTATTTAAACTAATACATGTTAATTACTTTCGTGTTGCGTACAGACCCCTCTTCCGTATGATTTCTTCATTTGAAACCTGCAATCCGAAAAATAAACGTGAGGATTTACACAAATCCTCGAGTATTTCCCCAACTCTTTACTTCTCTATCATTAGGTACCTTCCATCACTCTCTCTCTCTCTCTCTCTCTCAAATATTACAATGAGGACGAACTCGCACACACTCTGTCAGATTTTCTGTATTTAGAAAAAAAACTCCTGAAATCGCTAACCTTGAAGAACCATTTGGTAAGCATTTTCCCCGCTACTCTATGTCAGATTTTCTATATTTTTCTTGGTTTTTGTGGGTCTGTTCAAGTTCTTGAGGGACCTGAAGTTTTTGTGGGTCTGTTCAAGTTCTTGAGGGACCTGAAGTTTCTGTTAAATGACTATCTGCTTTCCATCTTTGACGTCGTTTGGTTCCGACTGTTTTGTTTTCTTCTTCTTTCCTGTTTGGTCTGAATTGTGTATTCGGATAGTCTAATAAATAATTTTTGGTTAATTTTGAAGTTTTTTATATTTTGAGCCGAGCCCTGGTTTCAGATGATTTATCGGATTAAAGTTTTCTGTAAGTGGTTTTACAGCAATTCCTTGGTAGTTAATTTCTTGGTTTCGGATTAAAAGTTTTCTGAAGGTAATTTCTTGGCGGGTTTTGTGTTTACTGTAATGAATTGTGGGTGATTATGTTAGTGGTGTTTGTATTTGAGCTTGGGCTTGACGGGGTTTGTTCGTGATGATTGGTTGTTGGTTATGAACTTAGAATCTTGGATTTTATATTTTGATTTGGTTAATTCAATGGGATTTTGTGTAATGTACTACTACGATTAGTACTTTGTTTTTGGGTGGTGAATTTATAAGATTTGGAATCTTTATGGAAGAATAAGGAAAGAAAATCTGCAAAAAAAGGCAAGATTAGTCAAATTCTCCCACCGTTTCATTTTAAAGATGTTTACAGCTTTAGGAACCTACTTTTCATCCTGAGTTTTCATCCCACCGGAGATTGGCGGCTTCAACTTCATTGTCGCTGAGGCTGGTGGCCCATTGGTGTCGGGTACAGTTTATTGATACATAGGAGTTTATAGGTAGGTTGGTTTTTGTATACCTCTGTGTCGAAAGAAATATGTGTATGTTGTTTGCTGCAAATGAATTGATTTCATTGCATTTCAGGCTTAATGACTTGAAGCAACGTGGTGAGTTTTATGCTCTTCGTTCGATTATAGTATATTCTTTTACAATGACTTTAAGTATTTACATAGACAGTTTTGCAATCTAATTTTTTTTATTTATTTATAAGTTTTTGCTAAAGATGCACGATTCAGTTTGGATGTAGCCTTACAATTTTTTTATTAGAATATGATGTTTTAATTGCTCTCTTACTGAGTAAAGTTTTGGACGGTTTGGCAATGTGTAACTGAAGTTCTGTTTGTCATTGTATCGATGTTGCAGTTTGCTTACTTGCCAAAGCTTTTAACGTGTTTCGGGAGTGATACACATGGAGAATACCAATGGCTACACATTCCAGGTTTGAGCATTTGCTTGCTGTCTATTTGCCATACATGACGATAAAGAAAGCCAACAAATTTTCAAGTCATGTTCGCTGATTAGGATTGGATTAGTCTTGGGTTAAGTAGAATTTGATTGAAGAGGCTAACATTAAGTATTTGTGGGTTAATTTTCGCATTGTTAGATTTTTTGTATGCAGAGAAAGGTTTCTGGCTCTTATATACCTAACTATTAGCCTTTTATTTGTATTATTTCTTTGTTCCATATAAGTATTGCTTGCAATGTCATTTACAGATCAATTAAATTACAAGCATCTATTTGCATTTATGGACATATATTATGCACTGAATTTACTATGTCATTTTGGTTTTGGCTTTTACTTAGCCTTACTAAATTACATTAATTTTAGAGCATATTAAGTAACTTTTAACTATCACAATAGTTAGGTAAATAGATGAAGACCTATCCAGAAAAATGCACATTTTCACATAAAACCGTGAACATCATTAAGGTATCTTATCCATGAATATATATTCTATATGTATCATCATGAACTTAGTTTATCTTTTCCACTTTCCTCAGAACACTACATTAGGGGAGCCTCATGATCATTATTATCATTAAAAACATAGCAGCTTTTTTCGGAATCACCTCAGTACCAAACCAGGTCTAAGAGCTACTCAAATGTTTTTGTGATGGATTGCACCTATAAGACTAATAAGTACAAGATGTCATTGTTTGATATCACTGGGGTCTCAAGTTTCAACCCATAATTTTATTCTTGTTTTGCCCTTATGCGAAAGGAGGAGGAAGATGATCTATGTATGGGCTCTGACAATGTTTAGTAAACTCCTGGGAATTGATAATCATCTAGTGGCAATTATATTAGAGAGGGAATTGGCGTTGATTAAGCTATAGAAAGTGTCTTTCCCAAGAACTACAAATATTTTATGTGTATGGCATATCGAGAAAAATATTCTTACAAATTGTAAGTTTCATTTTGAAAATGAAGATGAATGGGTTACTTTGATATCCACTTGGACTAGTTTAATACAGTCTCCTGATGAATCATCATTCAATGAAGATTGGAATCGTTTTGAAGTAAAATACAAAGACAAGTACAATAATGCTATTCTTAAATATATTACAACTACACGGCTGCCTTTCAAAGAAAAATTTGTAAGTGCATGGACAAAGCAGGTTTTGCACTTTGGTAATCTTCTTAGTTCAAAAGTAGAAAGTGCACATGCAATGTTAAAGAAGTATCTTCAAGTTTCAACTGGTGGCCTTCATGAGGTGCAAGAAAAGATTTGTCTTGCTATTGAAAATCAATTTCAAGAAATCAAAGTTCGACAAGATTCGTGTCATATGGTCTTCGAATACCCTTCTTTAAACAACTTACTCATGTATCTATGTTTCCATTGGATGAGTTACATAAGCAATATGGAATTAGCAATATCCACTGATGTTTAATCTCAATGTACGGCCATTTTAAAAACAAAACAATGGACCTTCCTTGTGCACACATAATAAGAGAAATGAGAAAGGAATTGCAATTGAAGGACGTACATGAGCAATGGAGGATTGATACAAGATCGTTTAGTGATGTTTGTGATGTTAACTTGGATGGTGATAGAGATGAAATAAGTAATCTTTTGTCAAATGTTTAAATCGAAGTACAAAAAAAATACCCCTTTCTGAAAAAGAAGATATCAAAAGGCAGCTCCCAATTTCTTGGTGCTTCTTTTCCCTTAATTCTTAAGCCTATTATTCAAGCTCATCAAAGTCGTCCATCAAAGTCGAAGAAGAGAAATGAAACTAACTCCACGCAGCCTGCACCTTCGTCATTTGAGATAGTTGAGAAGTCCCAAAAATGTAGCATTTCTAACAGTGTTGGCCATAACCGTCGTACATGCGAACTCAACAGTAGAGCTGCAAGATTTATGTGCTATGATTGCAGATTTTGAACATAGATATAATTGTAGGTTCTTTTTTTCTAATTACTTTTTAAATCACGTTCATTTTGGTAGGGACTTGAAATTAATTGTGTTTCCCTCAACTGAAATTTCTCTTGTATGTGTAACAACTAAAGTTTGCAAATAACTACACTTTTTATCATTAGTATTTTAATGTGAGTTTGGATATGTACTTGGAATATATAGGACGTATTTACATATGTTTTTCTAACTGTTTTGGTATTATGATAGACAGGTTATGCACTTTGCTGATACATATTTGTGTGTTTGATTTGAGATGTAGAGGCAATTGAAGATTAGAGTTTGGTATCATGCAAATGGGAACATATATGCTTCAGGCTTCTGCTGCTTTGGATTTTATATTTTATCTTATTTTGTTTCCCTCTGACTTTTTCAAGGATTTGTTTGAGATTCTAGTAATGGCGTTCAGATTTTGAAAATTGTTCTCTTTTGTGTTCTGGGTTATATTATTGTATTGAACTTATGGTTCTTTTGTGGAAATTCAAATCTGGGGTCATTGTTTCTGGTTTATTTTGTATCAATTTTTTTTTGTTACTGTAGCAAATCTAGGAAAATAAATAAATCTACCAGAAATCCCTGCAATTTTTTTTCGTAAGCTAAATCCATTTCAAATGAAAGATTAGTGAGGCCTTCAAGAAAAGAAAAACATGCTCAAAATCTAAGATCATCTCCACAGAGATGCCAAAAGTGTCTAATAGAATAAAAAGATAACAAATTTAAGATCTGGATGATCCTTTTCATAGGGATACTGTGATCATAATCGTTCATCATATATCGTACGGTCAATTTTCGTTAGGCACTATTTGTGATGATTCGTCACTAATTTTTTGTTTTTATAAATTTTAAAAGAGTGATTTTACGAAAATACCCTAGAGGCAAGGACTTTGACTTATGTTGACCATCGTCTAGAGAAACATATGACTTATTATTTATTTTTTATTTTTGGCATAATTGCGTAGTACTCGATGGTACGAATGCACATGCGAAAGCTGTTTGCGAGCCCGATTATAACGGTATGGTTACAGACGTTTGCAATTGGTTACTTACATTTTAGATTATAAATTATTTGAACTCCCACCTTATGGGAAAGAAGCCCAATCAGTTTTAAGCAAAGAATAAGGGACCAATCAAATTAAAGGGTAATGACCAATAAGAAATCAGGAAGTAAAAAAAAAAAAAAAGGAGGCTCCAGCCTTCCGGTCGGTCCATACACCCGCAAACCACCCAACCCAAATGTGGCAAATTTTTGCCATTTTTATTGTTGATCACCGCCATCCATCACCTAAAAATCACTCATGTGGCCTCCCATCCACCATCTCAGCCCAAAAACATAGAGTTTTGGTTCCAATTTCATGAAGGCCGACGCACGGCTTCGTGGATACTAGGCGGCAATCCACCCATTTCTAAAACATTTACCTTCAATCACCACCACCAAAACACTTCTCTGGAGATCAGGAACAAAGCCCAAACAGTTTTAGGGGCGGTGGTGTTGCGGATTGATCGAATAGAAGAACACCTTGGCCGCAAGTATGAAACTTGCTTTACTCATTGAAATCTTTATTTTCGTGAAATTTGAGAATTTTTAGAAATAATTGATTTTTCCGGCGAGTCAGGGCGGCCGACCGCCGTGTGTAGCGGGTGGGGCGAGACCCCACCTGACCTTCCTAAGCTAAGTCTGATACTCCAATTGCATAGGTGAAGTCCAATTAATGAAATTCCATTGTTTGGGTACAATTTCTCTAAGGTCCGCCACTTGATCCTTATTTGAATCGACAATCCAACCGTTGGATCATCACCAAACTTTAGTAGGTTATTATTCATAATATTTGAGGACAATAGGAGCTGACGGATTGGGAATCCGACGTGCGGATCTTCTCGAATCGGATCTTTCTGATGGTTGAGTTTTGATCAATAGGTCTCAAATCATTTTAGAACATCCTTGGAGAGGTGTTTTACGTAAGTTACGTGTTCTATCAATAAGAATTCTGAGACGTGACTGAATATTTGGTCTAGGCGACGATCGTTTGTGATGCCTCGATATTCGTGCTTGGGAGTTGTAGCGCGGACCTCAAGTGAGAGTAGGTCTTTTTCCTTTTTATAATATGTATATGTGTGTGTGTGTGTATGTATATATAAACTTTACGGTTTCCAGAAACATCTTTTTTTATATGGAACTATGTTTTGCTTGCCATGTCATAAATAAGTTACATTTTAAATATTGCATTGTTACACTTGTGAATTGTATTGTGTGATGCTACAGAGACTCAAGTAAGCTTTAGGTGAGTGTTATGTGATTGAATGGGTTGTATTGCATTGATATGCACACATTTATTTAGAGCTCATCATGGATGCACCCCGGTATTAGTGCTCCCGCCCGGGGCTAGGGTCAGCCTTCACGTGATTGTTCACCTCATACACTGCACACTCACCTTGTATCCAAGTCTGGTGCCAGCCTATCGTACAAACCACAATAGGTGATTCCAACTTGTAGGTGACCCTTAAATTATCACACAACGTTCACGTGATCGTATCACTTGAGCGTACATATTTATACCCAGCCTGTCGTACAGGTCACATTAAGTGACTCTGACTTATGTGCTAGCCTAAATTAATGAGCTACAAGTCCAGTTGTACAGGTCACGTTATGTGACTCCGACTGGCATACTATTTTATATTGGTTTCATACTTGGCTTACATTTATTATTGCTAAGATATTATGACATGGCATACTTCAGTTTTTGCTGCTCTTGTGCATTGGTTTTTATACCTACGTAGTAGTATTATTTTCTAGAAACTATACGGGTTTTACAGCGAGGGGTTATAACGTTTTCAAAAGGTTTTTATTAAAACTTTATTTTTAGGCCCACTTACCCTTGTTTTTTGCCCCTTCCAGGTGTTAGTAGCAGAGTTTTCGTACCGACGAGGATCATTGGCAAATCTTGGTGTAGGCGATTATCATCAATGGTATAATTCTCATCCTATTTTACTGTACTGTACTTATGCTCTGTCATCACTTGTGAATTGGGTTCATTCCCACTCACAGCGCACTCTTGTATTTAGACACTTTTAGGTTTAAATTTATTCACATTTTCCACATCACTACACTTTATGGCTTCGTCACCTTCCTGGTGTCGGTCAACACAGCTCGATTCGAAGTCCTAGTTGATATTCCGAGTCGGGATGTGTCACTATTTATATTTAATTTTAAATTTAAAACGATTTCTAACTGCACGATATACAATGAACGATCACGATCACATGATTTCCGAGGTCCCCAGGTCCCAATAGGACCTAGAATATATAATAAAAAAAAAAATTTGACTCATCATTTGAAAAAATGAAAATTTAGCATCTGCATTCAAAGTGCCATGTCAACTCTTAATTGAAATTTGACAATCTAAATTTAACATCTCCATTAGAGATGCTCTAAACATTCCCACCAGTTTATTTAAGTCATCAAACTATACTCAATGAGGTTTTCAAAATTCTAGGCACATTAAAAACAATATAAGGGCAAAATTAGAAATCACATCAAAAGAATTAAAATAGATAAATTAAAAATATAGATGGAGTGTGGATTGATATTTTAGGAGTGTCAAAAACAGCTCCCATATAACTTTACATCAAAATAAAAAAAGATAAAAATTTTCATTTCTTTATTCCTTCTATAAATTAAATTAGACTCGCCTAGAACAAAGATAAAAAGACGGAAAAAAAATCATTTGAAAATTTAGTTTATTATTTAAGTATTGTGTTTATTTTTAATTAAGAACACACCATTTAATTTGTAAATTTAGTTTTAAAATTTGATCTTCTTAGCATTATTTTTTAGAAAATTCATTGGCATCTCGTGTCCAAATCTGTAGAGCCTTGCCCATTTCTGATCCAAACAAATTTTCTTTGTAAATAAGGGTGGGCATAAAAACCGCCAAAGCGTAAAACCGCATCAAACCGTATGAAGAAAAAAAAACCAAAAAGAGCCGTGTTGACCAGAAAAAGTCAACTTTGAGTCAAAATTTGAACCAGATCGGTTCAAACTGATTCCAGCTCCAGTTTCGAATGAACAAGAACCTGCCGGAACCAAACTGAACCATTTTATTAATAATAAATAAATAAATTATATATATACACACATGTCATGGTATAATTGGTTAAAAAATTAGTTTCACCAAGTTGCAAATCAATGGATCCCATCCCAATTAGGGCTCACCCACCTCACTCATAGCCTCACATCCCCCATTTCACACTTTTAGACTTTCATTCTTTTTTTCACTCAGCCGACCACCTCACTCACGACCTTTCATCCAAAAATATCAGCGATACCTCAGGCAGCCCACAACCTTAGCTCTCTGTAACGGCCTTCGTCATCCTTCCTCTGCGACAACTCATGACTCTTCGTCCTCCGTCCTCCCTCCTTGGTATTTTCTCTATCTTTTCTCATATCTGAGGTTAGGAATATGGTTGAGTTTTACTGGTTTTCCATTTTCTCTTGGGCTGAATTAAAATTTACTCTTGTTTTGTTGTCGTACTACTGTATTCTTGTGAGGTTAGCTCATATTGAGTGATGTGCGGCCTAAATTGTAATAATATCACTTAAAACTACCATATGTTGGTAATCAATAAGAGCATCTATAATTTTTGCCAAGAATTAAAGGGTAGGGTTGGACATTGGGTGGATTGGGCGGGGTTACCCTTAACCCGTAGGGTGAGGCGACATGCTCAGAATACCAACAAAGATGCATAGAAAACTAGGAATCTTAGAAGAAATTTAATGGAGTGGCTATTAGGGGTGGGCAAACGGGTCCTGTACCCGCAGGTCAGGGCGGGTATGGGGCGAGTCCAAAATTTCAAAACACAAAACGGGGCGGGGCGGGACTGGTATACAAAATTAACGGGACGGGCGGATCTAAACATATGAGGGAACGGGCCCCTGGCCCGGCCCGTTTCTAACTTGAGGTAATTGGATGAGATTTTATGATTGGAAGTTTTCATTCATCTTAGACTCAGAGTCTGAGTCTTTGACCTGTTCTCCCATTCATTCACGACTCGAGCCCAATCGAGTCTTCAACTGCAGTCATCCATCAACAACCACCATCTCTGACCACAGCCCTCGACTTCGTCTTTGTCTCCCTCTTTCTGGCGAATCGTGAGTGGCGACCACCATCAACAACCATCATCACCGTCATCTTTCCAGATTGTGACCACCTCATCACCGCCATAAAGAATACCACCATATTGCGAATCGAAATCAGCAACCATCTTCTCATCTCCTCCCAATTTAAGGTAATATAATTTCTGAACTCTTAATTTTTAACTCTTGTTAATTTTCTGGATTTATGGATTTAGGGTTCCCGCAATCTCTGATTCTCTCTGATTAATTTTCTAGATTTGGGAGTTAGGGTTTTCTGCAATCTCTCACTCTATTGAGCAGTTCGTAATACCCCAAACCCAGTTCATAAATTTGCCTTCATAGGAATTGGGAAATTGGGATTTAGGGATTAGGATTCAAATGTTCACTCTATTGGGCATTTCATATTGTTTGAAATTTGAAATGGGAATTTATTATTTATGTATTGTGTAAATTTGCAAACTTGCTTGAATCTACAAGCTTTGCATTGAACCTATTGGGCATTTCAGCAACCTGTGCAATCTTTGAGTTGAATCCACAAACTTGGAAAGAACGTTGAGTATTTTATTGATAGTGGAAACTGTTTGCAAGTTCTGTAATTTAGAGATTGTTTACAAGGCTCAAAGTTCTGTAATTGTTTCTTCAAAAAAAAAAAAAAAAAAAAAAAGAACCTGTGGACCCACCCCAAACCGGCCCGTTATTAATGGGCCGGGCTAGGTTCGATTCCAAAGTTCAAATTTCTTATGCCCGGCCCGGCCAGCCCCATTCCATTTTAAAACGAGTTCGGCCCGGTCTCTCCAAATTTGGGCTCGGCCTGGCCCGTGCCCACCCCAAGTGGCTATGGAGGATGCAATGGGGAAAACTAAAGTTGACTGACCAATGCATATTTCTTTGAATTCTCTCTTTTTGTTGACTTGGTGCCACTAACCAAAGACATGCATTAAAAATGATATGGGTTGTATGCAACTTTATATAATCATTTTTAGAAGATGTATTTGAATGCATGATGATTTGTTGTTCAAATAATTTAGTATTTGGAATCATAAACCTGCAACAACTGAATCGAAACTGATGTAGACCGAACTGTACGGATCTAGTAATAAATTTAAGCGGAACCATATCGAACCAAATCGTTAATATTTTTCGATTTCGGTCCTATTTAGGGGTGAAACCACACCGTGCCCACCCCTATCTTTAAACAAAAAAAAAAAAGAAAAATGTTTTGTAATGAACCAAAGCATTTGAGTGAACCCCAAAACCATGGAAGGAGATCATCTCTAGATTCCTTCCTCCTAATTCATCAAATTAGGGAATTCGTGCCATTGAAATTTGATCTAATAGTTGAAGTTATTATAACTTTTAAAGTGGCCCCTATTTATAACCGTTTGATCAAATTTCTATAACACGGATTTCCTGATTCAGTGGATTAGGACTCTGGATCCCTTTCCCAAAACCAGTTCCGCTTCCACTTCCACGTCACACTCGTAGACTCCGAATTTAGCGCCACGTACCCCCTCCCTCCATTCCCCTATGAAAACGCGCCAGAGCTTTCCCTTTTCTCCTCTCATTTGAAAACTTTCAAAACCTCTCTCCCTCTCTCTTCCCCTTCAAAAACCCTAGCGGCCATTGAAAAAAGCCAAACCCTCCAAACCTTACCATGCTCCCGCACTCGTACGCCGTCGATTCCCATTCCAAATCCCAAGACCTCGCCTGCACCATCCTCGCCTCCTCCGCCCCGCACCAGATCTCCTCCACCTGCGCCTCCATCGAGTCTTTCCTGCACTCCCTCTCACCCGACCAATCCCGCCACTTCTTCTCCCTCACTTTCCCAACCCTCATCTGCAAGATCTTCGGCTTCGAGGATGCAACGTCATCACCGCCGCCTCTGCCACAACCAACTTCACAGCAACAACCCTCGCCCTCCTCCCCTTCCTCCTCACCCAACGGCTGGATTGATACCGTCCTAGCGTCCAACGACGTAGATTTAGCCAACAGGCTCTTCGCCCTCCTCGCCCCCAACAGCCTCCTCTTCAACGCAATATCCGCCGTTGATCGCCTCTCCCTCGTCAAATACGTGTTCCCTATTGAACGGTTGCCGGAATGGGTCCGATTCATGCTCTCGTCGGAAAATGATAGCCGGGTATTATCCGATTTAGCCCCAATTTTCAAAAATAGGGTTAAGGAAGACTCAATTAAACCCAATTTCTATCAACTCCAGCTCAATGTCTTTGAATATTACATGTTTTGGTTCGCTTATTACCCTGTTTGTCGGGGAAATGGCGAAAATTTTGATGTTGTTTCTATAAAAAGGAACAAAAGGTTTAAATTTGAGAATTGGGTTTCATCAATTTCTGGTTTTTCAAGCACTAGGCGCGGGGCGGAGGTTAAAATTGAATGCAACTTATATATTAGGTTTTTGTATGCATATCTTCGTGCTTTTGTTGGTGGAACTGATTTGAATCAGCAACTGCCACACCGTAGTTCGCTTTTGCATTACTCATCGGGATATGATAGCTCGGTCATAGCTCAGGCAGAGTTTTTTGTTAATGCTTTGGTGAACTTCTGGTTGGTTGATAATGATTTTTCACCGCTACCTGTTAATCTGTGTAAGTCATCTGGCGTTTCATTCCCATTCCGATCAGCTTTGGGCGAGACCCCACCAACCCCCGGGTTAGGAGAGGTGGTGAAGTTGTCTGTGAAGTACTTGAATTTGGGTTTGGTCGTGCATAGAGATGGAAATGAGGATATGGAAAACTATGGGAGTCCGAGGTGGAGAGTGCCGGGTTCATTTGATGCCTTCAAGTTGAGGGATGTAGTGGCGGTTTCACCAGGTATCGGATCTTGGAACTTGCTGATACAGAGGCCGCTGTACCGGTTTATATTGAGGACATTCTTGTTTTGTCCAGTGGGGGCTTCGATTAAAAATATATCAGAGGTGTTTTCGGTTTGGATTACCTATATTGAACCTTGGGATATTAGTTTGGATGACTTTTCAGATCTTGATACTGTTTTGGACGGATCAACTAAGAACGGGAGAAAGGATAGCCCGCAGCCTCAAGACCGTTGCTTTACATCTTCTTGGCAGGGTTATGTGCTGGCCAACTACTTGTATTACAGTTCCTTGGTTATGCATTTTATTGGGTTTGCCCACAAGTTTCTTCACACTGATCCAGAAATAATTGTCCAGATGGTATTGAAGGTCAGATTCTTAATCATTTCTCTTTCTAATCTAGTTACCTTTGTTAAGATTGAGTTTCTTCTCCTGGTGATTATGATTCCAGAGACGTATTGTTGTGCTCAATCTTGAATTTAAACTGTCTGGTTGCCTTGGATGAATGTAGTTGCATGATGAGCTTATTAATCATAAGTTTCGAACAGTATTATGTTTCCACCACTGGTGGAGGAATATCTGATGATTTTCAGTGGGCTGGAACCTCCGTCAGTACCAGGACCAATTTGTTGAGCTCTAAGTCTTCTGACTGTCAATGCTAATTTTAGTGACCGATTAGGTGTTTAATGATGGTGATTTATTTTTTTTCTACGCTTTATGGTTGGAAGTATAGAAGTGATGAGTGCTGATGAATTAAATGGAGGTCCATCAAGTTTATGACTTGCAAATTCTCATCTAAATAAAATTACTCATATCAAACTATTGTTCATTTCTATTGGAATTTCAAACTTTCCAACTTGGCTACGTCTTTATTAGGGTTTTATTGAGCTTTGGCCTGTCGAGATGCATTCCTCATACGAGCAAATTTGTGATTCTTGAGAATTGAAGATCATACAGTGTGCATTGTTTCAGAGTTCGGTATTAAAACTTCAGTAAGAGGAAATTTTGGTCATATCAACATGTTTACTGAAAACTAGTACTATATGTTAAAACTTAATTGAGAATAATGTGATGATAATTCGTACAGATCCTTGACCAACTTCCTATGCATTACGAATCTTTTATCTGTCAAAAATAAATATGAAGAATATTTTTGTTTCTGATTATTCTTCATTTCTGTACAGATCCTAACTATATTGACATCATCCAAAGAACTCATGGACCTTTTAAAGATGGTGGATGCTGCTTTTCATTCCAAACAAGCAGGATCAGGAAAATCGATGCGTAATAGGTTATATAGATTTGTCACTCCAATTCGCGAACAGCTCCAGGTACGTTTACTTCTCTTGTCTAATGTGTTGCATTAGAATTTTGTTTGCCTAACTGTTTGAATTAGTGTTTGACTGATTTTCTGTGTATGATGTATTGGTATCCCTAGGACTGGGAGGATGGCTTATCTGAGAGTGATGCAGATGGGTCTTTCTTGCATGAGAATTGGAATAAAGATTTACGATTGTTCAGTGATGGAGAAGATGGCGGGCAACAGTTGCTTCAGGTATTTATTATTATCATTTTTATTGTTCTCTATTTGTGTATGTTTACTAAATTAAATACATCTGTTCACATGACAAGATCTCATCCAATTTTCGTGATTTTGTGATTGCAGTTGTTCATATTACGCGCAGAAGCTGAGTTGCTAGCTGTTTCTGGTGATAATGGTGCGCACAACCTTCAGTGCATAGACTCTTTGAAAGCTCAGGTGAGCTATGTATTTGGTGGGCATACTGTAAAGGTACTGTCATTTTCTCCTGAACCAAAACAGCCTCCGCAACCCCGTGATGAAATATTCAAGCCCAAGAGAGTTGGCAACCACACTCTGGCTGATGTCAAATACAAGGGTGACTGGATGAAGCGCCCCATCTCTGATGATGAGGTTGCTTGGATGGCGAGATTACTTGTTGAGTTTTCCGGTTGGATAAATGAGCGTCTTGGACTAAACCAGTCGGAGAGCAGCCAAGCAGACCCTTCATATGTGGAAGTGTCGAGCGATGTTGTGGGCAATGTGTTTGGACTGACGGATACGATGAAGGCAGTGTTGGGTGCAGTAGGTTCTTGGCTTGTGATGTTGGGGGTGGCAGTGGTGAAGCTAATGAGGAAACATGGATTGAGGGTGAATCTGAGGATGTTGGCGTCAAAGAAGGTTGTAATGGTTTTGCTTTTGTCTGCTGTGTATACTATATTGAAGAAAGCTTTTGGAATGTACCAAAGGGTGTAGATTAGGGGTTAGAACAAGGATGTTGAAAACAGAGCTTTGCTTACCTGCACATTAACGGTTGAGATTTAATTAAATCTCAATTAGTTAAATATTAACTGTTCACTCGTGAGAAAAAAGTGCGAGGGAGAATTTCCAGCAAAAAACAAAGGAAAAAGGTGTATAGAAAGGGAAAAGGAACAGGGGTTTTTGTCCTGTGTGCACTTTTTTTTATTAGCAGTTTTGATTTTGTTAATTTTGCATCTGTAGAATGGTAGAGGCAAATGTTTTTTCTCGAGCCCCTATCATGCTCTTCATGCTTTTGTAACATGTGACATGGGCGATACCGTTAGTGTCTTATTGCTGTGTTGTGCTTTTGAAAAAACGGTTTCGAACTTAAGTGAAACCATGAATCCGGACTAAGGTGCAATTTAAGTTAATAGTAGAATGGAAATGTGATGTTCGGGACAAGACATTTTACACGTGTATAACCATGAAAGACTCTTTTTCAGACGAAAAGATAACAGTTTTATTATAATATTAGAAATTGGTACAAACTTCATCTAAGGGCTTCGAATAAAATCTGAGAGATTCTCAATCCAAATGAAGACATCAAAACATAAAAGGCCAACTTGGCCAACTAGTCGCCACCGTATTGGTGTATTTGAGGGTGACACGTGCCTGAGAATGGCCAAAGAAAAGCATCAAAATTTTGAAAGCATTTACACCCAAATTTAGAAGATTGAGATGACATTCGAAAGCGAAATGAACTTCACTCCAGGTGGAAGAGGCAAACACTTCGTGTTTTGAAACTTGAGAATTCCTATGCACAAAAACCACAATATAATGAACATGAGGACATTCTTTAACAATGAGGCAGTACTGACTTTGGAAAGGAGCTAGCTAGGTCCATAGACACCATATGAACATGAATTTTGTGTTTAACACAATGAGCGAAACCACTAGAAACAACAAAGTAGACGTAGGAGAACCCGATACACATGAACACAAAATTAAAATAATCAGTAGGAGATACTCACAAATAATCTCACCAAGGAGGCACTTATAAACTGAAATACTAAAGCGAAAAGCAAAATTAAGGCTAGGAGAACAGGAAGAGGGTTGCCATCGACCCTAGGTCGAAACAAGAAGCCGGCTGCTATAGAGTTTCTAGGTCTAGCAACCATAAATGACTGTTGAAGTGACTAATTCTTGCAAATTAACACCATGTGAAGTTGATGCATTTAGAAACACATTCGATTAATCTGTAATCTTTTGACCCCAAATTGTAACTTTCTTAACCCGTGTTGAACCCAAAGAGGCTTAAACTAATGATTGAATATAGAGTAGTGCTACACGTATCATCTATTTATACTATTTCCATAATAGACGTATGGTCTACCAACACATGTGAGTTTCATCTCTATTAGAAAGATGGTATAGACGATAGTACATATAGATCGTAATAATAGTATTCTTGTTGAATCCAAGAAGCCGAGGCCTGCAAGCGTATTCAAGATAACACACTGCCTGTTTCAAATTTTTTAACCAAAATGGAACACTTTGTGTTTGCTGGTTTACCTTAGGCGTATTGGCCTATATTGTTGGAGTTTTGAATGGAGAAAACAACGAGTTCATTTTAATCCGCATTGGTGGATTGGTTTTTGCAGATTTAAATCATAAGTCTTACACCGTTAGACTTAGCATATTGAATTAAGTATAGATTAAAAGATTTTGATATGGATTAGGATGCAGCCCATAATTAGAGCAATTAAGATAAGGGTTCGGGTCTTGGGGTCTCAGAATTAATCCAATCCTTACATACATGTGTGTGTGTGTGTGTAGGGATAGGATCAAAGGACCAACATTTTGACATTCCTTTAAGTCGTTAGATTACATAACATCTAAAGGTCCTCATTTAATCATTAAATGGCTTAGATACGTGTATTATAATTAACATTGAAAAAGAATAAAAACTGATAAGGAATAAAAACTAGAAAAATAATTAAAAATTAAAAAGACGAAGAAAACCTTGCACACAAAGGCCTCCATTGATTTGTGCAAAATGCCTTCAAGTCTTTTTGAGTCTTCATTCTCATCTTTGGGTGAAAACTTCAAAAACCTCTTTGATTCTATTTCAAATCCACACTTAGATTTGTTGTATAAAAAATTTGAGGAAGGTAGTGAGAGTTGTTGATTTAGGGTTTAATTTTGTCAATTTAATGAAAGAGCGAGGAACAAAGGCTTGAAGCAAATTGATATTTGATTTGCTTTTATATAATTATATCAGAATTTTGTATCAATCAATTGAAGGAACGACACTAAGTTTGACAACATGAGATAGGAATTTGAGGTGTTGGGGTTGGACGAAGCATTTCGGAAGGTCGTGCTTCTTCAATTGCATCCAAGACAAACAACATTTTAGTTTCTTCCTTATGTATGCGGGACTTTTTATTTATTTTTATTATTCCCTCAGTTTTTATTATTTTCTTAGTTTTAATTTTTATTTATTTCTTAATTATAAATTTATACCTCATTTAATGTTTAAAATCCTCTACATAACTCTTAATCAAGACCATTGAATGTTACAAGATATAAAGGCTATAAAAGAGTGTAAAATGTTTGTCAAAATTTTTGTCCCTTGATCGCATATATATATAGATAACTATGAGTTTGAATTCAAATCAAACGTTGCAACTGAAATGATCAATTATCAATCAAATGACACAACTATAAAAGGCAGTTGTTCATTCTTGTCCAAAAGGCGTGAACAAGTCTATAAATTTACCAACACATTTCATTTAGAAAATCAACTTTTTCACAACCCACTTTTCATATGACATTAATATTTTGGAGAGAAACACTCAGTACGTTCGATAGAATCAATGCCCTAGTGCAAGGACTTTGATTGTGATAGTTGAATCCTGGTGATAGAAGCCTACAAGAACTACTACACAAGTGTAGAGGCCAAATTTCCGTCTATAAGGATATTGCAACCTTGCAAGCCTCTATCATCTATCTATTAGTAAATTCTTGCTCGTTTAATATTTTTCATTTTCATTTGCATTGTTGTGACAATCTGTCCCTAATTTTACGTTTTTATTAATTTTAAAAGCGTGAATTTACAAAAATGCCCTAGAGGCAAGGACTTTGACTTCTGTTGACCATCGTCTAGAGGAACGTAGGACTTATTCTTTCAGCGTATCCTCGTAGTACCCGTCACTACGAACGCAGAGGCGAAAGCCGTTTGCGAGTCTGGATTATAACGTTATAATTATGGACGTTTGAATTTGGTTATTCAAAGTTTAGTTTTAATTAAATTAAATTCCCACCTTGTGGGATGAGGCCTAATCAGCCTTCACATAAGGGAATGGTGGACCAATTAAATTAAAGGGACAAGGAACCAATTAGAGGAGAGGGAGAGGGCAACAGCTAATCAGGAAAAAGAGGGATTTCTCCCCTCCATTCCTGTCAGGCTTTCAACCCGTGCAACCTAGTTCGACCTCCCATTTTCCAAGGCCCATTCCGGCCAACTCCGATGGAGTTTTTTGACTCCACCACCGCCATCTTGAAGATCTCATTCCCCTCTACAAAATCCACCCAAGAACCACCTTGATTAACCACGGTATGTGGCGGTTTGAGGCCATGAAAGTCTACGAAAATCAACAGTGCTTTGGCCACTCTTTTCAATTTTTCGGCAAAGCGGCATAGTGATGGCTGATGCCACCATTTGGGCTTTGTAGCCCATCATCCCAGGAGAAAACCCAACCAACCTTGACCCCGTTAGACCACCGTAGACAACGAATCGACGCCGGGAAGCTTTAGGCACCCGCCGACTTTGTGGGCAAAGTTGACCATCTTCCGTCCACTTTTGGATTTCGTGGCAGGTATGAAAGTTGTTTATCTCTTTGAGATATTCATTTTTGTGAAATTTGACAATTTTTAGAAATAGTGAAATTTTTCTGACTAACCATGGTGGCCAGCCACCACGAGTTGCGGTGCGTGGCCGAGACCCCACCTGACCATCTTAGGCTAATTTTGAAGCTTCGATTCCATATTTGACATTTGTTTAGTGAAATAATGATGTTTTAATGTAGTTTCGTAGTTAACCACCAAGTTGGCCGTCATGGGGTCCTTGCATGAATTCACGTTCTGACCGTTGGATTGTTCCGAAACTTTAGGATGTTGTTCTAGAAGCAAAATGTGGATCTTTGGAAGTTACAGATCGAAGATCCATGGTACGGATCTTCCGGATCGAGTTATGTAGGGTTATGGACCCTATCGTCGACCTTTGACCGACGGTTGACTTTTAGTCAATGGGTTTCAAATCGTTTTAGAACGTCCTTAGGGATGTTTACGTGAGTTGCATGTTTTATCGATAAGAATTATGAGACGTGATTTGATAATTGTTCTAGGTGACGATCGTTCGTGACACCTTGATATTCGTGCTAGGGAGTTGTAGCGCGGACTCTAGGTGAATGGGAAGTTTGTTTTATACCTATACATAATTATAGTTTCCATAAATGCGTATTTACTTCACTTTTACGCTTATTTTGCCAAGTATCGTTATTATGATATTAACTGTGATAAATGTTGCTATATGGTTGAGATATTAATATCATGACATTCATACATATTTGTACATGTTTCTCTGCTACACCCTAGTGTTAGTACTCGCCCCTGGGCCAGGGCCAGTCCTTCATGTGTATGTTCACATCCGCACCATTCGCTCGCCTTAGATCCAAGTTAGGTGCCAGTCCTGTCGGGTAGATTGCATTAGGCAATCCGACTTGTATGTGACCATGCTTCTGCACCAACCTTCACGTGATCGTAGTACTAGAGCGTATTGATTACACCTAGTCCTATTCGTGTTAGAGATTATCTGTTTGAACTCGTGTGTCGGCTTAGATGGATAAGTACTTAGCTATACTTGATTATCACATGATTATATTACTGTGACATTTGATATATCATGACTTGGCATATTTCTGGTTATAATGTTGTTGTATTATTATTTACATACTTATGTAGTATGTTTTAAGGAAACTATACTTGTTTTATGACGAGGGGTTAGTATATTCGAAAATAAAAGTCTTTACAAAATGTTGTTTTGCTAACCCGCTCTATTTTGTTTTTCGCCCCTCCAGGTTTAGTAGCTGTGCTTACGTGTAAACGAGGATTCTGGCAAATCTCAGTAGATGGTTTATCTTTAGTGGTATAACCC